CATTTGTGGGGGAATTCACTGGAAGAACGTAACCCAAATCAGATAAATAAACAAAATTGCCATCATAACTTCTTCTATCAAACAACAGCAGGATGAGGAAACGTCTGTCTGGAATTTCCACATGTGCCCCAGCCGCTGAACACACACTCAGGATCACATGTTGCTCATGTCGGAAGTGTTTCCACGTGAGAAACACTTGTAGAAATTAGACTGAAGATAAGATACGAGAGGGTGGGTGCTGACGTGAGATACATTAATAAAATGAGGAAAGGAAATTGCAGCGTGTTGTTTTTCCCCCCCACAACATGTGTGTGAAGATAAAAGGAGGATGAAAAATGCTTTGGTCGTTGTTAAAGTGTTGACTTTAAGTGAGCATGAGAGTCTGTCTGTCAACATGAGGAAACAGCTTCCACATGGAAATAACAACGTGAGTAACCTCGGAGTAAACTGCAAATACGTGAGCTGGTAAATGGCTGATTCTGGAAGTCTGTGAGGTGGGAGAAGTTCAGCTGTTGGAGGAGTATTAAACTGTCCTAGAAAAACAATAGTACAGAAAATGTAAAATTATGTTAGAAAATACCCAAACCTTTTATTTAGAAATGAAAAAAATAAACGTGCAAACCTATGGACATCAAAAAGAAACTAAGTGAAGTAAATTACAACTCCCGAGATGCATTTCATCAACAAGATAACATCTACAACAGTGGTTCTCATCTTCTCAATAAAACATCTTTGCTGAGTCTAATAGTGAGGTCAAAATCAAATAAGCAGTTATAAAAGTTAAATATTTTTCCTCCATAATCTTTACCACTTTTCACTTCGACCTGTTTTTTCTGTTTCTGCGCACTGGTCACTTTCATATCCAATTACGCATGAATGGAGGCAAATGAATCTGCAGTTATATACCTTTTTTAAATACTTCATTTACATTTGCTGTTTTGTTTAAAGTAGTTTTGAAAGAGTCCTACATCAAAACATATATTTTAAAACATAGTTTCAAAGTCTTTTGTGTGTAAATTAACACTTTTTGCCCCTATTTACTCACTTCTGTTCTGATATACTGTATTTACTCAATTGTACACTGTTATTTACCATCTTACACTTTATTTATGATGATTTACACCAAATTATAAAGGTTTGTTATTTATGTTTAATATGCATGTCTCTTTTTCTGACAAAAGTGGAAATTAACTAACTTTTCGATTCAGAAAAAGTCAAAACTGCGAGAATTTCTTGACTTTTAAAAGATTTTAACCTCAAGATTATTTTCTTTCATTATTTTTCATTTATTAAGAAACAACTAATGGGATCGGATTATAAGTTTGTTAAATTATGGACAAATAAATACATCTGGGGTATTTTTAAGCCCATAAAATCAAACAAAGACATTAAATAAAGTAAAAGCAACCGACCTCGTTTTTCCTTAATTTAAACTTTTCTAACTTTTTAACTTTCAATATGAATTTAATTACTTTAACATATTTGTATTGATGAGTGTGAGCGTGTGCATTATAATGATGTGCGTGTGTTAAAGTGCGTCAAATCTATTTTTTTGTGTTTGTAAAGTGTGTGTGTCATGTGACTCGACCCAAATGCACACACTGATTTGATTGGATGTCTTTCAACCAATCAAAGTGTTCCACATGATATAAAGTGGACTCCAGTAGAGCCACGCCCCCTTTTCAGTAAATATGACCGACTTTGAGGCGATGAGGAAGTGCAAGCACCTTTTTAAATGTGTTAAATAATACAAAATATATATGCAATGTGTTTTCAAGGGTCAATTTCTGTTTGTTAAAGTCAGGAAAGTTACATCGGACCTGTGCGAAGTGATGATGGGAATATTTCTGCATAATCTGCAATGGACTTTGAAGGGCTTCATGTATGTCATATCACTTTTTTACAAACCTACTTAAAGACTTAGAAGTGACCTCAGTGACTTTGACATTAACTCTGCAACTTGAACATTGAAGTGTTACTAACAGATTAAAGTTTAGATCCCAGTGAAGCTGCTGCTACAGGTCAGACATGTGCTCTGTTGCACCTTTAACCTCAAACAGTGTTGATATCCTGAACATGGCTGCAGGATGAGAAGTTAAACTCTCTGCAGGAAGAAGGTGTTAAGTTATTCTCTAACTCGGTGACTTGACTCTGACCCTGGCATCTGACCTCAGACACAGATATGGTCTCAGGCATGACCAAAGTGACTCAGACTTTACCTTTCTGACTTCCTTGTGACCTTAAGGGCTAAACATGACTCAGATAGAAAACTGTGCAGGACTCATCTCGGACTTAAAGATTTGTCTAGAAGCTGATGAAGTATTCTCTCTTCATGATCTCTCTACGAGCAAACCTCCTCCGCTCAGTGTCAGACGGTCTGAGGTGTCAGAGAGTTTATTTTGTAACCCCGGCAGAACATGCAGGTTTTATTTCAGACACTGTTGGTCTGGTTTGTTTGTTTAACTCAGAAAAATCATGTCTCTGAAGTGTTTTGCTCCAATCACCAAACAGATCATTGCAGCATTACCCATAACCACCTCTGTTTCAGCCCTGTTTCCAAAGTGCTGATTCTCTGTCTGTTACTTGAGATGAAAATAAGGAGCCACTCCCCACGCCAGAGAGATTTGGTTACAAAGAACTCAATGGTGCTCTAGGAGGAGATTCAGGTGATAAGGGGGGGGGAGGAGCCGCTGCTCAAAGTTTTCAGAAAAGAAAAATAGAAAATCAGCATAAAAAAGTAAGCAGAGGCAAGAGCAAGCAGAAAAGCGTCTGCACTGTCTGCACTGTCTGCACTGTCTGCACTGTCTGCACTGTCTGCACTGTAAGAGGGAGCCTCTTGTAAACAACACAGCATTAATAAATATATTGTATGTCCCGTTTTACATTCACCTCGTTTTACTTCCAACGTCTCGCCAAAAATGCGATGGCCAGAAGAAGGTAGAAGACGTGGAGCCGTGGATTTGTGCCAGTTTGTCCTTTGCATCGAGTCCTCTAGGGCGGGGGGGTCAAACTCAGTTTCATCGTGGGCCACATCAGCATTATGGTTGCACTCAAAGGGCCGGTCGTAACTTTCAATCTCAATCTTTATTTATTTATATAGCACATTTAAAACAACCTCAGTTGACCAAAGTGCTGCACAGGGAACAAATATAAAATAACACAATAGGAGTAAAATAATAAAACAATAATACAAAGCACAATAACTAGAAACATATAAAAACACATACAAATATCAAAATGTTATGTTCAACTAGTATTAAAAGCCAGTTCAAAACTTTAAGACGATATATAAATACATATATAAATATATCATATATATCAAATAATGTATTATATTACATTATTGCCTCTGCATTGGATTATTATTGGATAGGGTAATAACTTCATAATTAACTACGTCTGAAAAGCAGAAGTCTAGGGCAAATCATTGCAAGTCTCTTGAGTGTGCACGTCACAAAATGAGATGCATTGTGGGACATGTAGTTCATGGACAACGTGCCTCTGTAAAGCGGCATGTAACCGTATAATAAACATATTATATTCTTTGCAAGCTCTTGCGGGGCCACATAAAATATAGTCGCGGGCCGGATTTGGCCCCCGGGCCTTTAGTTTGACCCCGCTCCTCTAAGGGGACAAGTGCATGCTGTATTTTTCATTAAGATAAACAGATTCAGCAAAGATGGAAACAGTGGCAAATCTTTTCCACATAATGCACTTGGTGTTGAGACACACAGGGCCTGGGAATGCAGTCATCTTAAAATAAACATCCAGATTGTGTCTCAATGTAAGTTTGACTCGGTCCTCCACAGTGACTGGATGTCAGCTCAAACTGATCCGTCTCATATCGGCCTGAATTATTCCTCTGTTGCTCTGCTGAATACGTGCCTGAGGTTTTCTATATGGTGTCATACCTTCAGAGCTGCTGGTGTAACCCCATTTCACATCGAAACACTTCTCCTTCAGTTCCCAGAAGAAAAACACTGGAGGTGAAATGAGGAACCAGAAAACATCTTGCCACGTTCAACTTCCCCTCTTCTGTCGCTTATCAAGATCTGCTGTTATCATCGGTACTGAGTTCTAGTTAAAGAAGCAGCAGGGGAGAGACTCTGACAGTCGAGAGCCAGAGACCGAGAGAGAAGCACGATGTCTGAATTCAGAAGGATCATGATGTCTTCATTCCTGATGCTGCAGCTCCACTTTTCAGGTGAGGATGCAGAGAACACACACTGTTTACGACTGTTAATGAAAGCTAGTGAGGGCGTCTTTCAATTGAAATCGATGTATCCTTGGGCAAGATGCTTAACCCCAAGTCGCTCCCAATGGGGAACGGTGTGTGAATGATACCTTCTGTCGTGGAGTTTGAATCAGTTTCTACATTTAATATCCACTTTCCTCTATCGGGGTTGTGGGTTATGACGCGCCTCTCTTTGCTTCCAAACTAACTTTGCAGAGATCGTTGTAGCGTTGAATCACATCAGGTTTATTCTTTGATCAAGACGACATACAAACATGAAGACAAACTTCCTCGCTTCAAAGTAACTAAAAGTTCTCCGTATCAAAAAAGAACAAAAAGAACAAAAAGAACACGGTCAAAAGACTCTACCGCTTCCTGTCTAATCACACCCTCAGCTGTGAACCAATGCCATGCCATATATAGACATATAGACATACAGACATGCACGTCATATCCGACAGCAAATAAGTGAGACTTAAACTAACATCTTTTAAAGCGTAGTGTGACTCACAAAAATACATAGTTAAGAGTTTCCTCTAAAGCCTTTTAGTAATAAGACAAACATTCAAACCATAATGATGAAAGGGAAATGGCTCTAACCCCTTCATTGAGCAAGGGGCACATTGCTCTGTATGCATAGGGTGTGAATGGGTGACTTGTTGTATGTAAAGCACTTTGAGTGGGTGAAAGACTGGATGAAGCGCTTTATAAATACAGTCCATTTACCATTTACCAATTCTTCAGACATTCAAGAAGCCCAGCAGCAGTGAGGCTGTTTGAAGACGGACAGATTCACAAAGCTAAATCAGACAGACTGAGAGTTACACAGAATTGTTCTCTGGTTATAAAGAAGGTCACAGAGGAGGATGCTGGAGGTTACGGCTGCAGCCAGTACAGATCAGGAGAACAACAAGGTCCAGACTCTCGTGTTTATCTGCATGTTGTTACCAGTGAGTATTTACATCATAATGTTTTAAACTGTCTCTATAGAGCAATATACTGAATCATTACAATAATAATGATTACAGTGATGAAGTTAATGTTACTCTTGTTGTCTTTTCTCACAATATCTCCATCTTCAGTGACTGAACATCTGGACAATGATGAGGTGACGTTACGCTGCTCTGTGTCGACATATGGACAGTGTGATCACACAGTGAAGTGGCTGCTTCAGGGTCAAGATGTGGATAAAGATCACAGAGAGATAAAGACATCACAGTCTTCCTGCTCTGCCTCTGTGACATTTCTGACTTCTCTCTTTAGTTACACAACAAGGTCTGAGTTGTTTACTTGTGAAGTAACTAATGGTTACACAGGAGAAGTTTATCTGTTTCTCTTCAGCCCTCAGTCCTCAGGTGAGAACATGATAAGCTGTTTCAAATCACTTCTAACAGTCTTGTTATAAGAATATATTGAAACAACACATTTACAACATCTCACATTTATCAGGGATTGAATGAGTTTCTGAAATGTGAAGTGACAGATGGTTATGATAAAAAAGAGAAGCTCTTAATTGAGAAACCAGGTTAGAATATAATGAGTTGTTTTAAATCACTTATCACACATTTAATCACAGATAATGCTTTTGGGATTTGAGGTTTTGACGTCACATCATTTTGTCATTTGGTTTATGCATAAAACATTTTTTTTAACTACAGTTTTTTGCATGATGTTGTTTTATTCCTTAAGGAGATGCTACAACAACTGGAACACCAGGTCTCTTGAGGCTCATCATGGTGTCTGTGGGGTTAGCAGCTCTCATCATCACCGTGGTTACAGTCCACATCTGGACCAGAGCTAAAGGTGAGGGTTCATAGATTCAAGAGAAAAGAAAAAGTAAACCGTTGAAGCTGAAGTCAACATGTTTGTCTTTTTGGTTTTTTTCAGGGGACAAAAAACGGATGACAAAAAACCTTGTGAGTTTAAATATAAAATAATAGTTTGTAATATTTATTATTTTCATTTAACTGTGATTATAAGACAGGCAGAAGATTCAACAAAGGAGTAAAGTGTGCATGTTGTGTTGAAATGAAGTATCTCTGTGGTTCCCTTGAGCAAGGCACTAAAGGAAGTACTGAGATATTGTACTTCATTAAAAGTAGCAATACTACAATGTAGAAATACTCTAATATATAAATATGATTAATAATACAAATATACCTACATTGAAAGTACTGATTATGCAGAATGTAATAATATAATATATGATTATAATAAGTGATGTTTTAATGTGTATCACTTCCATTTGCAAAGTATGGTTTATTAAAAGTACTTTACATACTACTGGGTAGCTTAACTAGTTATATTTGTCATGTAATACATCATAGATGGTGATTTCTGCTCAATTTAAGAATGAAATAAATACATAATAAAAACAGGAATATAAAAGATGTTAAAGCAAGAATGTGTAATAAAAATGAATGGATGAAGACGAGTAAAAAGTTCAACATGAAGCTCCAGAATAAGGAGCAGTTAAAGTGTAAAGTAGCATTAACTGATGATAGTCAAGTAAAGTCCTTAAAATATGTACTGAAGTACAAAACTGAGTAAATGTACTTAGTTACTTTCCAGCTCTGCTCTGTGTTTTCACCATGTCTCTGTTCCATGGTGACAGGAGCAGAATGATGAAGATGAAGATGAAGATGAGGTGAACTATGAAAACGATGGATGGGCTTCTACCTCTGTGTGACTGATCAACAACATCAACTCCCCTCAGAGTCCATGCTGTCAAACATCACCTCCTCATATTCTACAGGAGAAAACAGGAGAACCATGAGATCATTGGAACATTTCTGATGACTGAGAACACCTGAGCAGTGTTCATTTTGGCAGCTATTTTTGATTTAGTCTTTAGACGAAAATGGTTATTAGTTTTAGTCACATTTTAGTCCTTTTTGTCCTTCATAGCTTTAGTCTAGTTTTAGTCGATGAAAAATCATTACATTTTAGTCAACTTTTCGTCAAAATGTTTTCTCTCTTTAAACTAATTCAGTTAAACACAGGTATCTGAAACTGGAATCAAGGTGACAGCATCAAGTGTTGAAATTCCTAAAGCAACATTTCACTCTCTTAACACTTTACTTTGAACGAGTTAGGCCCCGCCCCCCGCACACAGACCACTTCAGAAACTCACCTCCATATGATAGGAAACATAGCTTATTATATTCATTCATTTCTGATTTAACATCCTTTAAGTATGCTCTCACATTCCCATACATAGTTATATATCTGATCTATAGTCTACAGTCTCTGTATATAACATCTCAATATTAGCAGTACTTGTACTCACACCTTATAACTTCACTTCTCACTGTAACTGCTGCACATGTTCAAACATACGAGTGTTGGGTTGAATTCATAAAATCTTTAAATTGTAAAATGATCCATCAAATGTTTTTCTTAATTGTGTTCTCTAGGGAAATCATTCACCCTAGTGTCGACTATAATAAATGCTTTTATCTCGTTTTTACAATAAA